TCGCTCTCGCTCTCTCTCTCTCTCTCTCTCTCTCTCTCTCGCTCTCGCTCTCGCTCTCTCTCGCTCTCTCTCGCTCTCTCTCGCTCTCTCTCGCTCTCTCTCTCTCTCTCTCTCTCTCTCTCTCTCTCTCTCTCTCTCTCTCTCTCTCTCTCTCTCTCTCTCTCTCTTTCTCTCTCTCCCCCCCTCCCTCCCTCTCTCCCTCCCTCCCTCCCTCCCTCCCTCCCTCCCTCCCTCCCTCCCTCTCTCTCTCTCTCTCTCTCTCTCTCTCTCTCTCTCTCTCTCTCTCTCTCTCTCTCTCTCTCTCTCTCTCTCTCTCTCTCTCCCCCCCCCCCTCCTCCTCCTCTCTATCTCTCAAGGCAGCAGCAATCAATTGATGTCAGCCGTAGCTGAAAAAATTTATGTATTATGATACTGGGAGTTTACTTACATTTGGTATGATTATTAATATCTGCTCTTCCTCAAAATAATTTGTCTTCTAAGATGACTAACACATTCAGATTAATACTATGGAAATCAGTGCAGATGAAGTTACTAACAAATGCTTCCGTATTTTCAGGTACGATTACACAAAACATGAGGAAGACATCAATAAGATGCAGTCCATCAATGCCCGCCAGGCCAACGAGAGCTTGCCGTCTCCAGAATGTCCGAGCCTCCCAGTATACCACAGGTGTGACATATTTTATAGATGACTTATTTAATAGTAATGATAAGGGAAGAGTGTTCAAGAGGAAAGTTGAAAATGAAAGTAAAGGGTGGAATAAAGATGATTTTATGGAGAGAGAGTTGTATAAAAATGTGAGAAGAATATATTTGTGAAGTAAGAATATAAGACTAACACAAGATTTTATTTATGTCGACAGCAATCCAGTGCTGAATCGGTGTGTGCCGGTAGAAGGCGAAGGGCCGGCAGGTCTTGTGTACAATCTCTATGGATACCTGAACTCTTTGGATATTCTGGAACAGGTGCTGGCAGATCTCTATGCATCCTGGCACCTGGTTCTTATTTTCATTTTCATTACCCTTGGTGAGTGTAGCATTTACGTCTGTTCTGATTTATGTTATTGTGAAATTTATTATGGTTAAACATTTCTTGATCTAGTTCTTTTTTTCTTTCTTTCTTTCTTTCTTGTTGTTGTTGTTGTTGTTGTTCTTCTTCTTTTTTCCTTTTGTTTTTCTTTTTTTTTTTCTTTTTCTTTTTTTTGACTAAAGATAGTTATTTTTTTATGATTAAAGATAATTTATATTAATTTTCATCTGATCATTGCTCTACATTTTTTATCTTTTTTTTATTAAGCCTTAACTTCACATGATTATTTGTTCACATCACTAGCAGAGCTTTAATGGACAAATGGTTAATCACTTTAGCTCTTCATGTGAATTGTGTCTTTCAGGTATCTCCTGTGTGGTGATGCTGTTGTTGCATTACATGGCAGGACTTGTGTCATATGCCATTATGATTGCAGTTATGATTGTGTCCACTGGTGAGTAAAGCATAGACTGCCGTGACTTTCATAGTATGAATTTCTACCGTTATTTAAGATAATATTATTGCAGATATTTATTGTTAGGTGATTCAGACTTGTGATTATAGAAATTTTTATTCCTACATGGCAGCATTGACGGTTTTGTTGTGGTGGAGCTACATCAGCGTTCATCTGCAGTTGGATAATGCTCCACTAGATCAGATACTGGAAGAGACAGTGCGCAATGAGAGAGCACTCTTGATCTATGCCATCATTGCAACAGTAATGACTGTAAGTAACTTCCTTTGAGATATACATTTAGTATTATTTTTAAAAAGTAGTATTATGATTTTTCTTCTTTTTTTCTCTAAATGAATTTTGGGTCATATCTGTTGTTTGTACATCAAGCTGAATGGTGATGAATAGATTAAACCAGGACCGTCCGGTTGTTTTATATTTATATACGTGAACTGATTTTAAATTATGTAAATACCTGGATGTAATAGTCAACATGTTTCACCCCAAGTATAGGCAGTTAAATTACCCTCATTACTTCATAGGTGGCCTTGCTGGCTTTGGTGCTGTATGTACGACCACACATAACAATGGTGGCCGAACTCTTCAAGCACGCAGGGGCCTGTCTGACTCGCCATCCAGGGTTGCTCCTGCAGCCTGTGATTACTTTCTTCGTGCTCTTGGCCTTCTTCCTTTTCTGGGTGTGGGTCCTGATGTCCCTTGCCACAGCCAGTAAGTTTTTTTTCTGTTTGGTTTATAGTCGTCTATGAATATGTTTCTACGTGTGTATGTAAGAAAATAAGGTGTATTTAATGACAGAGCATTCACTGAAAAGCAATTTTGAAATCCACCTGCCATCTCACTTTTCAAAAAAAAATTATTATGGATATTGGTCCTCTGCTTTTGGTTCAACATAGTAGGGTATTTATGCCATTTATTTTGTATTGTAATGTTAACGAGTGTTCTTTCTTTATGTTCCATTCCATACTTGTTGCTTAGATTAGGGATAGGCAGGAGTTTGTTACTTGTTAAAAAGGTCTGCAACAGGGATAAGATCTGATTTCAATTAAAATTATCATAGTGGTTTGAGGCAAATTCAAAAATTAAGATAAAAAGTAATAGTTGATTCAGTTTTGATGATTGAACATTTTCAAAATGGATGATATATGATTTACATTTCAATATTGAGCTATAGGACTGCCACTATTGTCATAAGGGTAGAAGTGAGGAAGGTTCTGTAACTTAAGATTGGTGGGTTCAATACTTTACCTTTACAACAAACCATGTATTTCTGACAAAGATATAATTGAAATTGGATAAACATATCTCTATTTTTGCGAAGACTTTCATTCTCATTCATACCTTTTCTAAAAGTGGCTCAGGTGTCTCAGGGTCAGAGTTCCATGAGGGATGTGAATGCTTTTATATATGTGATTAGGAAGTTTTTAACTGGGAGAAAGTATTGTGTAGTGGTTTGTTTGGAATATATATATATATATATATATATATATATATATATATATATATATATATATATATATATATATATATATATATATATATATATATATATATATATATGTATATACACACACACACATATACATGCATACATATATACATTTTTTCATTTATTTTCATTACCATTCTTTCATACTAGTATGTTAGAAGTTGATACATGTAGTTATTGGTAAATATGCTAGTTATTTTCTCATTACACTGACATGTTTTAGTACAAGTAAAGCTCACAATTTTTCTTACTCTTATTCTTCTGATTAACAGAGCACTTGAGAAGTTCAAGACTACAAACAACCTTGCAAGAAGTGATCAACAATAATTCAGCCATTCTAAGTGAGGGAGATGACACCAATCTTACTTTCATGCGTGAGTACTAAGAAATATTGCTATTGTGCTTTTTGATGTGATAGGGCTACATCCAGCTGTTGTTTGACTTTTGCAATTCTTGAATTTTGGGTATCAGAATAGTTTTAACAAGGTCTTGTTAGTGCATATGTGAGTTTATTTTAATCTCATCCACTTGAACATAAAATGTTGTTATGTATCTGTATGTATAACTTTATTCTAGGTTCCATTCATTTTAACGTAGTGTTTTTTCATGTATCTTTCTAAAAGTGAAAGAGAGTTTATCCTAGAATCCATTCCCTTTTACCAGGCACATGTCTACATATCTTTTTAAATTTGTAAAAGTATATTCTTTATATCATTCATTTCAAGTATTTAGTATTTGTGTCTCTGTATAAAGATGAAACAGAATTTTGCTTTGGCTTTATCAGGTACCCCCCAGCGTATCCTCGAGTACGTTGACCCATCGTGGGTGCGCTCCATGTGGTGGGTTTGGGTCCTGGGACTAGTTTGGGTCGCTGAGTTTATCCTTGCATGTCAACAGATGATCATTGCATCGGCAGTTTCGACATACTATTTCTCAAGGTAAGTTTTATTTTTAGAGCATATTAGGTGTAAATGGGATATGGTAGAGGTATGTTTATTTGTATAGATATTGATATAAATAGATTGAGATTATGTATTGATGAATGTTGAAAGTGATATTCTCATATTAGACATCCATGTGTTACTAATCGGATCAACAGGCAAGAAGGCCGCGGCAAAGTGCGACACCCCATTTGGTGGTCGTGGCGCACCCTCCTTCTCTACCACCTCGGCACAGTGGCAAAGGGCTCGCTTCTCATCACCCTTTGCAAGCTACCTCGCCTGATAATACAGTGGATTACCAAAAAGTAAGAGACTTCTGCATTCTTGATATTTGCGTGAATTGATTTAAGTAAGATCAAGGAATAATGCATTGATCTGGTGTTCTTAAACAGCTTTCAGGTCATTCATGTGGAACTTCTAGTGTGTAGATTTTTTGTGTTTTGTTGTGAAGGCTTTATATTACAGCCAGTGGTCATTTACACCAGCAGGCCAGATATAACATGAGTTCATATGCAGGCCAGGTAATGTAATCTATTGTAAGAGATAAAAGGTCCCATTTATTAATTATTTATAACATAAGAAGTGTATTTAATTCTGGAAACAAATAATGTAATGTAAGTGATATCCTTACGAGACCAAAGGCCTTGTATGATATGACTGGAGCAGGATATGAGACCTGGGCTGCAAGTAATTGTTTGAGGATTCACATGTTTAATAGTCTACCCCTGAATTTACTTTGATACTAAGTTGAGAAAGTTATGAAGTTTCTACATTTTGGTGAAACAAAGTTTTGCCAAGCTTATATCTCTAATTTTTCTTAGATAGTAAAAGACATTTGAAGATATTGGTTGTAAACTATATTTTGAGGTTTCCATAATTTTATTATATTTATCCATATCACTTTGTAGTAAGATCTGTGTTTTATATTGCATCTTGTTAGTTCAAGGGTATTGAGAGTTATAACCGTTGATCTTCTCCCTTTTTGGTCTGTCATTCCTTTCTGCAACCATATATATAATTTGGACAATGTGTAAATTCATCATTGAGTTCTATGTTGTATTTGTTGGTCTATTCTTTGATTTGTTGCATTTGAGACCTTTGGCATTACACTGTAGTGAGCTACATCTAAATGCATTTATCCCTCCTCAAAAACGAGGATTGTCTTAGCACAGTGGCAGTATGTGCACTTTGGCACCAAGAGGGATCTTCAAGCTTACAGTTTCAAATCTTGCCTATAGTCCTGAATTAAGAAGGGCAACACCTCTGTCTGCAAAGTTCAAAGCCTCTTGAAAGGATTTACTATTCATGGCTTTACTTAGAGAGTTTATGAGGAAAAAACGTATTATCAGTCAGTGTCAAGCTTAATATATTTGGTCACAGTAGTGGGGGCAAGTAATCGTTTTCAGCTGATGACAGTCTCTTTAATAGTTAGATATATACAGAAGGAATCTCTTTTGCCTTCCTATGCTGGCCCTCCATGGGATTCTCATTTGATTTCTTAAATTATTTCTGGTTGTTGTAGGATCCAAAAGAAAACTTATTTGCAGAATGAATGAGCTGCTCTCTCCTAGATATTTCTGGAACTTTCTAGTTTTCTAGTTTCTTAATTGTTTCTTTTTCATAATCTAACCAGCATTCAAAATCATGATATTTTAATTATGGACCCAACTTTGGCTGGTGATTGGAACATTTATGTATTGTCATTATTATCTTTGTTCATTCAGTGGATGGTCCTTCTACCATGCAGACTTTGCACTGGGATGTTTGGATGCTTTTGTTTGAATTTTTAGGTTGAAAAGTTGCACTAATGTCTCATTACAAAATACACATCTGTATCACTGCCTCAAGCAAGGATTTTATTGGTGTATATATGGTGTGAAACAAGTCTGCCAGTTGCCAGATTGCGGTGTGTGCTGCTATATTTATATGCATCCCAGAGTTTCGGCCTTCCAGTGTCTTGGCTGGCCTTGTGGCAATGATTAATATTTTCAAACTTCAAAACTGAATATTTACTAGTTTTGGTTCTATACTCAGAATCATTAATCTTTTTTATTACTAGACAGAGGTTATGTTATGAAAGCTACTTTAATTCCAGTAGAAATAATATTTTTGCCATAATTATTATTCTTTACCCCTAACAGATGCAAGGACCCAGAACATAGCTGCGCAAGATGTGGGCTTAGACTCTGCTGTTGCTGCCTCTGGTGCTTTGAACACTTCCTCAAATACATGAACCACAATGCATACACTGTCACAGCAACAAGAGGCACTGCATTCTGCGAGTCTGCCAAGATTGTTAGTATTTAAATGTTATCACACTTTGCACAAGAAGGAATTTGTTTAACAGTGTAGATAGGGTACTAATTTCTTGCTTTTGCTCTTTTAGTGGTGAATAAACAATAAAAAGTTGCCTAATTGGTAGTTTATTCACAATTTACTATAGAATTTACTCTCACAATATGATATAATTGAACTAGTACTCAAGACAGCATTTGATTATAAGCCTTTTCTGTAACACATTATTTTCTTTAAACTGTTATAATGCACAGGTTACTTTTTGCCATAACTTAAGTCTATTTCATGACTGGTTATTAACCCAAAACCGATGGGCATGACATGTACATATATGCCTTGCCCACTATGAGTTTACTTTATTAATTGTTTAAATACATAGATGGCTACACTTGTACTAAGTCACCAATGAGCCAATTGTGAGTACTGCCAGTCTCGCCTGTTTACCCTTTTCCTTGATTTTCGAAAATATTTTATGTTATCTTATTTTGCTGTTACTGATGTCTATAACATTATAGTAATTATAATGTCTGTAATAAGAATAACACCATCTATGTTAATAGCATTAGTATAGATAGATAGATAGAGAGAGAGAGAGATAGAGAGATACTGAATGTATATCCCACTTTTGAGTAAGAGGGGTGTACTTGTAGAGGAACCAAGAATGTGCAGGGCTCATTCATTTTCAAGGCAGAAACCTTGATAAGTTTTGATAAAATTTTCAATGTTGCTGGGATGGGAGGAATACTTGCCATGTCCACTTTGTCTTTTTTGTTTATTGATTGTTTTTACACCTAGACAGCTCCACAAGTGCTTGATCACCAAGGAGTCAATTACTAGTCCTACAGAACTCACCTGTTTACCCTTTTCCCTAATGTTTGGATTTTATTTTTTATTTTATTATTTTTTTCTTGCTTGATTGCTTGCTTGTTTACTTGCTTGCTTACTAGCTATTAGGATTGTTAATAACATTGTAACAATCACAATGTCAATAATAATGATAACAATATTGATATTAACCCAATGCCGACGGGTATGACGTGTACGTACGTGCTATGCCCACCGTGAGTACTTGTTTGATTGTTTTTACGCATAGATGGCAACACTTGTACTAAGTCCCCAATGAGCCAGTTACAAGTACCGCCCGTCTCGCCCGTTTACCCTTTTCTTTGATTTACAAAATATTTTACGTTATCTTATTTTGCTGTTACTAATGTTAAAAAACATTATAATAACTATAATGTTTATGATAAAAATAACACCATCGATTTTCATGGCACTAGTGAAAAATACGTTTTTCCCGCCATTTCAAATCAGGCGCTAGCAGAGCCATCTATCGGCAGACATTTCACGAAAAACATAGAAAGTGGGCATAGCATTTTCCCCCCTTTTTTTTTTTTTTCCCCGGTGGCATTGGGTTAATACCATTAGAATTAGATATTTTTTTTCCAAAATTTTCAAGAGAAGTGGAAATCAGCTGAGGAGACTTAGACATATGCATTGGCTCCTTGGTGATTGAGTACTAATGGAGCCATCTGTGTGCAAACAAAATTCACAAAATGAAATGACAGTAGACAATATGATTACTTGGCACCATATGATTAAGATATTATACACTGCTTCCATTGAATGACTTTCAAAAAGGAGCTTTGGTTTCCATAAATTTTTGTCAAAGTATTACCAATATCCATTTCCTTTTCACAAGAAGGTTTGACCCTCACTTCAGATTTCTTCAAATTCTAGCCCATTTGCGCCGGGTAAAAATGAACAAAAAATGCTGTGCTCATTTTTTATATTTTTTGTGAAATGTCTCTACACTAGATGGCTCTGCCTTACCTGATTTCATCTTTACTTGAATTGGCGGGAAAATGTATTTTTACTAGTGCTATGAATATCGATGGTTATTTTTATTATAAACATCATAACTACTCTAATGTTATAAACATTAGCAACAGCAAAATAAGATAACGTAAAATATTTTTGTAAATTAAAGAAAAGGGTAAACAGGCGAGACAGGCAGTATAAGTACAAGTGTAGCCATCTATATGTGAAAACAATTAAACAAGTAAACTCACAGTGGGCACATCACGTATATGTGACACCCGGCGCGAATGGGCTAGGATTAGATGATTATGACTTCATAGGCTAGAATAAAATTGTTGAATACTTATAAATAAATCAAGTCACACCGTAAAATTTCATAATCATACCTGTTTTAGTTAAAATTGCAAAGGCTGTGAAAGGTAACAAATATTTGTTATGATGATGAATCATCATTTTTACTGTCTGGTACATTTATTTTTCATTGCTGACAGGCATGGCGTGTGGTCCTGACAAACATGCTCCAGGTGGCTACAGTGAACAGCATAGGTGACTTGACAATTTTCTTGGCCAAAATCACAGTAACAGCACTGGTATGCTGCATTGCCCTCCCAGTACTACATGCCAACCCCACTCTTCATCTTTATGCAGTACCACTAATTGTTACAGCTGTCTTTGCATTCTTCATCACCCACTGTGTTTTCTCTGTTTATGAGGTAAGTGTGATGTTAGATATTTTCACATTTGACTACATTCTGAAATCACTTGCAGTCATCACATAAAATCCCAATAAAAAAGCGTGATATATTGCGATAATTTGAATTCATCAGGACGGACAGGCCAAAAATGAAATGGATTGTCCCTTTCATTGTTGTATTTGAAATGTTGTGATTTGCTACTCGTCTTATTATGTCTGCATTTGATTTGATCCCAGATTTAATTCCTTAATACCTTGGGACTGACATTTCCATGTTATTGGAATGTAATTGTGTTTATTGCGCATTTCAGATGGCTGTTGACACACTGTTCTTGTGTTTTTCCGATGACTACAACACCTACGACACCACCGACGGGCGTGAGTTGGTGGCCGACAAAGAGCTGTACGAGTTCATGGTGAAGCACGAAGACATCGACAGAAAGAACTCGAGAAAGCCACGGCGCCGTGACCCCCCTGAGACCATTCGGTTCAAAGAAGGGGCCGTGTGAAGGCAGAGGAAGTTTCTGACAATGCTTTCCGCTGCAGAAACTGATTCCTTTTTACATGCTCCGCCCCTCTCCGAGACGGAATATTTACTATGACTTTGGTAACCAATGATGGTTTATAGATTTAAAGATAAATGCAACAAAAGTTATGATCAATAGATTGTTGCATCTGACAGTAACACATTTTTGTGTAACTCATTGCAGTCATGCTATAGTAAGGATTGACTCTGATAATCATTGGCAGATATCATAGTTTGACATTAATGTAATACTAAAGGAACAAAAAAATAGTACTCTTATTTAAATGAAATGTTCATAATTAAGGATAGGGTAATGACTTCTTGAAAGTATCTAGGGTGTGGTAATAGATAAGGAGAGGCATTATTTAACAGGCAACAGTATTGACAGAAATTGCTAACTACAATAAGCTCAATATTTGATATCAGAACTCTTATTTGTACTTTCAAGAAAAATATCAGTAAGTACAGGGAACTCATTAAGAAGACTTTTAGGTTATGTTATAATTTCTTACTAATAGTTTTCCTAGCAATAGTTCTACTAATGAGAGGAGTCATACATACCACCCAAAGTGTATGTTTTACTTAGGGAACTTAGACCTGATTCTGTTTTCTTTCTTTTTTTCTCCTACTTCTTGATCGTTTCATGTCATCCTTCTATTCTTTTTGATGTGTTACTGGCTTCTTGCTTTCTCTCTCTCTCTCTCTCTCTCTCTCTCTCTCTCTCTCTCTCTCTCTCTCTCTCTCTCTCTCTCTCTCTCTCTCTCTCTCTCTCTCTCTCTCTCTCTCTCCCTCTCTCTCCTCTCTCTCCCTCTCTCCCTCTCTCCCTCTCTCCCTCTCTCCCTCTCTCCCTCTCTCCCTCTCTCCTCTCTCTCCTCTCTCTCCTCTCTCCTCTCTCTCTCTCTCTCTCTCTCTCTCTCTCTCTCTCTCTCTCTCTCTCTCTCTCTCTCTCTCTCTCTCTCTCTCTCTCTCTCTCTCTCTTCTCTCTCTCTCTTTCTCTCTCTCTCTTTCTCTCTCTCTTCTCTCTCTCTCTCTCTCTCTCTCTCTCTCTCTCTCTCTCTCTCTCTCTCTCTCTCTCTCTCTCTCTCTCTCTCTCTCTCTCTCTCTCTCTCTCTCTCTCTCTCTTTTCATTCTCTTTTTCTTTTTCTTTTTCTCTCTTTTCCATCCCATACTATCTGCCATCAATGTACTTATTGCTTTTGTGTAAATAGGTTTTTCTTTCTTTTTAAGTGATAATCTGCTGTTAATGATACTGGAATATCATCTGTGATATTTCATGGTCATTTAGAAATTCCTCTTTATATTTTAAGTCTGTGATTTTTTAATATGTGATAAAACTATTTTCATTTAAATGAAATTTTCCTCTTCTCAACTAATATCTATATATTTGTACTTTTTACATTTGCGTGGACATGTTTTAAGATAATTGGTGATTTGGCAATAGGGAAAAGCTAGAATTTATTTTGATATAAGGAATTCAAATTTAGTTTCTTCTCTTGGTCAGAATTCTTCAGAGATTTGCAAGTGATTTTGATGGCAGTAGCACAGATATTGAACATTGCAGCTGGTAATGTAACATTAAACAAATTATTTTGTTATGAACCCCACATACTGAGTCACAACTCATCATCCACCATACCTGAAGGATAGTACAAGACAAATCTGTACCATTTGTTTTGTTTTGTTTTGTCTGTTTTTTTTTTTGTTTTTTTGTGATGAATTCTATGCAGATGCAAGATATGTTTATATATACAAATTCACCTTCCCAGATTTGGTAATTGGCAAGCAATTAGTGACCTCTAAATGTTCTATTGTGGTGATGCACCATTTGTCCAGCATACATTATAAGTACCCTGTGCAAGTTTGTTAGTCTTATCTCACCATTACAATTGTAACGGTGAGTGGTGTCCTCAATCATTTAGGATTTGACTTACAATTTCAGAGAAATTTTAGTCAAGTGATGGATATGGATGGCAGAGACATGACAATAGCTTGTTAATACTCAAAAGAGGTTAGTTGAAATATGAGAGAAGCTGTTTTTGAAGTGTTATGAGTGAGTAGCCAGCTACTCACTATAATGGAGGATTACAAGAAAGGTTTGGGCATTGGCAGTTTCTCTAATTCATGTTACTGGTACTTTTTTACACTTAGTTTTTTCTTCTTCTCACTGCCCAAACAGTCATTTTTAGCATAGAAATTGCTGTTTTGTTTTATGTAAAAGAATATAAATTAGGGAGTCCCATAGGTGTAAGGCTGAGCAAAAAAGATTTGATTTGGTCTCAAATCAGTGTGATGAACTTTTGCAGCTTAGATAGCATTTTTATTTTTTGATTTTTTGTCAATACTTGAAAAATTCTGATTGATACATCTGTCTGTAATAAGTGATTGATATATATCAAAAATTGTAAATGTGTAGATTGTCAACCAAAGGTTCAATGAATGGTGAACATATTTTATGGAGGAAAATGAAATATGTTATAAAAGAAAATGTTAAAGTACTGATGACCTGTGATTTTCACCATAGGGATTTTTCCTTCAATAATTGTGGAAAATAAGTGCCTGAATAAGGAAAATTATCATGTACCAATGGAAAAGACAACAATAGAAATAAAAGACATGATGCAATTTTAATGTACCAAAGGTTATCAGTCTCCATTAAGCAATCTGTTTGTTAGCACTTTTTCATCCAGAAATGTTTGATAAGATGTACATAATTGTTATAGTAGTTTAAACTTGTGCTTGGTTTACATCAGTTATATTCCATCCCAATATTATCAAAATGTACTTATAAAATTTGTGAAGTTATTGCACAAAATACAGAATGGAATGCGAAAACTTCAAATGGAAAATTAATGGTCCCTCTTTGGGGTCAAGTGAAGGATTCTTTTCCATTTTTCTTCTTTTTGATGTTTGATTCTATTGCAGATTCTATTATGTTTGTTTTAGGGCAGAAATTTGTATATTTTAGTATCCTTATAACTTCAGTTTTGTGTATCATATATTTCTTTAGATGTTAATGGAATGGGATAACTGTAAAAAAAAAAAAAAAAAAAGGAAAATTAAAAAGCACATCTTAGTGACTCTGATAAAAAGCTAGGATTTTGGCAGAGTAACTGTGTATTCATAAGAACTAGGGATATACATGACATAGGAATTTTGTAATGCAAATGTTAGTATGTCTTATAAATATACAATCAAATACTGTTAAAAAAGGTTTATCTGCTTATAGATCTGTATTTTACTGTTGTACTGAAATAGACCAAAAGCCTTAGGTCTAATCTTTTTCTTTCTTTTTTTTGTTTTGTTTTGGTAATTACTTCCATGGCTCTAGAAAGGAGATAGTACAGCTAGATAAGCCTTCTTTACTTCATGGTAAACTAGCTAGCGTGTGTTTTGTTTTGCGAAAATTGGCAAGTTAAAAAAAAAAAAAGATAAGACATTATTTTTGGTATGCAGAAATGTGTAGACATTCCATAAAAATTGATGTTTTTTTTTGTTCATTTTGGTTCTTTTTTTTATTTCTTATCTCTTTAGACCCATAAGTAATGTGCTGAATAATGCTTGGATGTAGTTCTCAAAATACACAAACTGTTGTAGGTGATGTGCTAAAAGGTCACAGGGAACCATGACTTCAGAAGGATATGTTTTTATTTTTTAAAGGAAAGTAAGCCATGTAATAATGAAAGAAGAAAAGTAATGCAGTCTTTTATTTTCCTGGCATGTTATGCTCTTGTGTACCCTCAGAGTCTTAAGAGTGCATAGAGATTATTGTTCATTTTATAGTGGAGGAAATGGTGCTTAAATCAGTGTCACAATATGTAGTTTACTTGTAACAGCTAAGGAGTTTGCAGTGAACCTCTGCTGAAGGTAAGGTTCTTGGTGAACTCTTAACGACGGTAGCAGCTCTTACATTTATTCACTGGTCACAAGGATAACGCACAACACAAACACTATAAACTATGCATATCATGTGGCCAGTCTTGACTTCTCTGTTGTTTTACCCTGCCTCACTCACTCTGGGTCCATTGACTCCTCCACTCTCCCTGTCTCTCTCTCTAACTCTTTGTTTGGCTCTCGAATTCTGAAAGTAAGGATAAGGATAAGTCCGATATGAGAAGCTGAACCTCGCCCGGGCTATGAGGGGAGCCTGGCCTGTGCCGACTAATGTCGACTCGCTATCAGTGTGTCAGCTGGTGCCGACTCGGCTTTAGTCCTTGCCTGCCGTGGTGCCCAGCCAAAGCAGTAACCCCCAGGCGACAATTGCAACTTCTCGTGCCTGGGCAGGGCGCGAACCGCCGACCCCTCGGATGAGAAGCCGACACGTTACCACTGTACTAGCCTGGTGTCTATTCTGGAAGTGAGCACCAGGTTTTTATACATAGTTGGGAGCTTCAGCTGCCTCCCCAAGTTACTGTATTAGCACCTGCAGAACTGACCTGTGCTGGCTTGCTGAGGTCAATAGCCTGTGCTATCTGTTCTTAATCTTAAACAAGAGGTCAAGCAAAGGTCAACCAGGTGGACTTCAGTGAGGTCCTTGTGTCTTCACGAGACATTTAGTAGAGCATCCGATTTCGTGAAACACTGGAAACAGTTGTCATACTTCTTTTATTGCAACATTATAAATAAAACATGAGAACTATATGATGCTTAAATACAATGCATATTTTGTATTTTCCAAGTAATGCACAGTCTTTTGCAAGACTGTGGTCCATGGATGGCTGCCTTCAAGGCCTTTATTGATAACCACCATTTTTTTAAATAAAATATCTATTTGAAAAATTATTCATTTACCTTGAGACAAAAAACAGACCAACTAAAATTAAATATGTTCTGTCACACTTACTTGATAGCATGCAATTTCATGAGCACATGGCACACACACTCTCTCTCTCTCTCTCTCTCTTCTCTCTCTCTCTCTCTCTCTCTCTCTCTCTCTCTCTCTCTCTCTCTCTCTCTCTCTCTCTCTCTCTCTCTCTCTCTCTCTCTCTCTCTCTCTCTCTCTCTCTCTCTCTCTCTTTACTATCTACAGTATCTGTCAATCCATCTCTCTCTCTCTCTCTCTCTCTCTCTCTCTCTCTCTCTCTCTCTCTCTCTCTCTCTCTCTCTCTCTCTCTCTCTCTCTCTCTCTCTCTCTCTCTCTCTCTCTCTCTCTCTCTTTACTATCTACAGTATCTGTCAATCCATCTCTCTCTCTCTCTCTCTCTCTCTCTCTCTCTCTCTCTCTCTCTCTCTCTCTCTCTCTCTCTCTCTCTCTCTCTCTCTCTCTCTCTCTCTCTCTTTTACTATCTACAGTATCTGTCGATCCATTCATCTCTCTCTCTCTCTCTCTCTCTCTCTCTCTCTCTCTCTCTCTCTCTCTCTCTCTCTCTCTCTCTCTCTCTCTCTCTCTCTCTCTCTCTCTCTCTCTCTCTCTCTCTCCATATATATACATATATACTTATATACATATATACATATACATATATATATATATATATATATATATATATATATATATATATATATTATATATATATCCCTCTCCCCCCCCTCTCTCTCTCTCTCTCTCTCTCTCTCTCTCTCTCTCTCTCTCTCTCTCTCTCTCTCTCTCTCTCTCTCTCCATATATATACATATATACTTATATACATATATACATATACATATATATATATATATATATATATATATATATATATATATATATATATATATATATATATTATATATATATCCCTCTCCCCCCCCCTCTCTCTC